TCTGGTGGATGTTCACTTCCAGGCTGGGGAACAGATGGCATTTGGCTTAATTTTTCCCTCCTAATCCTGTTGTGAGTATAACAGCTTGAAGAATGCCTGGGGAAGGGGCTGTGCTTTGAGGAGAAGCAGATCTTGTGCAGGGCACTGAGCAACTGGTGTGTGTTGAGTTCTCTGCTCTGATCTCTGATTTTTATCCAGAGGTGTTTGAGTCTGGAATGACTTATTCCTCTCTTTTCTCTAAAATTCCTCCCTGATCATGGGGAAATTCTGGAAAACCTGGAGTGCAGAAACATTTCTGCCAGTCTCCTGTGCTTTCACAGCCAGGCTGGTCCTGCAGTGCTCAGGGTTATTTCCTACAAACTGGGCAAGAGAAAAGCATCACCCTCAATCAAATCCATTCTCTCTCATTCATATAAATCAAGGAACATACCTGTAATTTGCTGTCTGGTATTATTTGAGCTATTAAGTGCCAGTAGTGTTGTTACAGATGTTAATAATGTCATATGCTGCATATGTGGCCGTTATGGGAAGAAGGTGAGTCGGTTTATGGTGATGAATTTGGTTTTAATGTCTTTACAAAAGCAAAAGGATCATTGTTTGGGTGTAGATAAGCATATGAACCAAAATCTTCCTGGCTGGAAGTTCTGGTGTGTTCCTTCAGATCCACAAATGTCATAATTGTAAGGGAAAAAACCAAAAGACATAAAAGTGTAAGGTCACCCTAAGCACACAAGATTTCCTGTATCTTTAGCCAGCAGTGAATTTATGCTTTATACCAAATATGAAATCTTTAACAATTTGTCCAAAACCTTTGTGCAGAAACATTGTCCTACAAGAGTCATACTGAGAAAGAATCTAAATGTTCCATTAGACCTTGAAAACTTTGTCTTTTGTGCTCTTGTTTGTTATCAAATTTGGTCTGAAAGGCAGAGGGTTGTAATTCACATTGTAAAATGACCTCATTGTTCTCTTCCTGACACTAAAGCCTGTGGTGGTTTGTAATGTGAGTAAAGAATTATGTCAATACAATATTTTTGTATTCTGTTCTCACTTTCTGTTCCTTTCATCAGCTTTTTATGATCCTAGAAAGAAGATTTCTGTGGGAAACAGTTTGGGCTTCTTGTTCAGGGATGGAGAGAGGCAAATGTTTTGTTATATTTTTATCCTATATACAGTTATTTACTATCCTCAGTACAGTTAAACTTTTACCAGTGAATGGACACACCATAAAGATATAAATAGTTTTATTGGGAACTGCTGTTCTAACAGGGAGCACTTGTTAACAATTGCTTTATGACAGAGTGAGGGGAGGACAGAGAACACTTCCTACAACACTGCTTTAAAGTGTAAGGATAATTGGCTGGAAAATGGATAAGAAATTGAAAACAACAATAAGGATACACTCAGTTGTTAAAATCTAATAGCTAACATGCCTGAATTAGGCAATGTGCTGCCTTCTGACAGCTGCTGCTGGAGGTTCTCCCAGTTATTAACAGTCAAAATTCCTCCCAACCACCTGAAAATATGGAAACATGGAGCATTTGTCTCTTTGCCTCCCTGGATGGCAGTGGGACGTGGCAGCTCTGCTGCTGGAAGATGATGTTGGTGCTGAGGCTCTGCTGTAAGAGCTGATGTCAGGCACTGAAAAATGACCTGCTTCATCAAATCCCTTTCTTAAATTAGCCCGTAATCTCAGATTAAAAACCTCCCAGTAAAATGCTCTGGCTGCTGCTGGCTCTGAAATTATACAATCCTTAGTTTAAATTCATTAAATAGTTATATGGAAAGGGGAGCAAGCCATCTGTAATAAGCTAAAATTGCTGACACAGTCCTCATAATAGGTTCTTTCCCAGAGGTTTTTATTGCAGTTATATAAGAAATCATCGACTTAGGAAGTTCAAAGAAACTTTCAAAATAGATCTTTTTTTTTTTTTGGTTATGTTTTCTGAGCGATGTAGCAGGAAACCATGAAGATATTGCTCATAATAATTAGAGCTGTGAAACGTTGGGAACAGGCGCCTGGGGAAAAGGGGAACTTCGTTATTTACAGAAAGTTTGAAGAATTCTTTAAAATGGAGGAATGTTTAAAATCCAAGTTAAAGTAGCCACTGCCTGTGAATCATGTTAGTTAGGCCTTTTATCTTAATAATAACTATAGAGGATGATGTGCAGATCTCGGCTACAAAATCACGATGCATTTGTTCGATGGATTTTTGAGTTTTCTCTCATCACACAACAGGTGATTCCAGGATGAACCCAGTGGGATTTACAGTGTAGATAATTCCTGGATGTAACTAAAGCACATGGATTTGCAGCCTGGAGCAGGAGGTGGTTTCCTCAGCCTCCAGCCTGAGCCCCACATCCCAGTACATCACACAACTGACAGGCCCTCCCATGTTGGACCAGCAGAGTGATGGTGGAAATGAGATCTGGGAGCAGGAGGGGTCTGGAGGGTTTCTTGAGAGAGAGGAAAATGTTGGAAATGAGCTGGGGAAATGAGCTGGTTCATAACTCCTTCACCTTTCTGAGGGAGCCACGGAAAAAACGCCGCTCGGGGGACTCGACGTGCTTTGTTTCATTATTCTTGTTACAACAAACACTTAAATAATGCCTTTTTTTTTTCAGCTCAGCTGTCTCCTTCACTGTAGGCAGCAGTTCCTTATATTCCAGTCTGTCCTCTTGCTCACACATCCATTAATATTCACTCTGGCCCAATGCTCCAGTTCAGCGTGGTAAAGTCCTGAGAAGTGATTTCTTTCCCAGGCTGCAGAACTCACTGCCAATGACATCCTGACCTCTGGAGAGGCAAATTCATTAATTTTGGCAGAAAAATCACAATTTCTGCTTTGAAAGTATTGATTTCCTGAGAAAATACTGAAATGCCTTGTCATTAACACCTCTTTAGACATCTACAGCAAGGTACCTCTAGGTGGTTTATACAAGATTAACTAGAAATACTGCTCATTTTTTTGGACAGAGCACATTCACAGTAACCACAGGACACCAGCTAAATTTTTTTTCAACCCCATCCATAAATAAAACTTTTAGCCTAAGGAAAAAAGCATCCAATTTGCTCTGTTTCAGGGAAAAGTCTGAATACTCAATGAACACTCAGTGAAAATCAGTTCAGCAAAATCACGTGACAGTTGTGTTTTTACTTCTGTTTTTCTTTATCATTTCATCTTTAGCTAAATGTGGAAGCAAGGAATTTCCAGGGAAACTAGTAATATTATATGTATTTTAAATAAAATTTACAAGAACACAAGATCAGAGCTTCACAGAATCACAAAATGGTTTGGATTGGGAGGGAGCTTCGAGATCATCTCATTCCACCCCCTGCCATGGGTAGGGACACCTTCCACTAGCCCAGGTTGCTCCAAGCTCCATCCAACCTGGCCCTGGACACTCCCAGGGAGTTACAGTTCTTTTTTACCCATGAAATTATTTCTAGTTCCATTCTGTAAAGAATGTTACGAGGTAACTTAGTTTTGAGGATTGGGTAACTTAGTTTTAAACAGATCTTTTTTTTTTTGCCCCCAGCTAGTTGTAGTTTTATCTAGTTCTAGTTAAAAAGTCACAATTTTTGATAATTTTTTTTACAATTTATGAGGTTTCAAATGTGCCAACAGTTAACCTTTACGTGACAATGAGTGAAACCTCTGCAAACACGTGCTGGTTGATTTATAATTGTATTTGCATTAAGAGTTCAAGTTCAAACCAAACAGTTGGAATCAGTGTCCCAGAAATAACTTCTTTTCAATATTTGGTGTCAGTCAGTATTAAGGACTGACTGATTATTCTGTAGCTTAAAAATTCTTGGCACAAACTTTAGGACATGCTGAGGATCTGGAGGAGATAATCTGTTTGATGGATGATTTATCTCAGCTCTAGGCCTGTGTTATCCTTAATTTTATAAAAGGGAGGAGGACTAATGACGCCCGTGGGATTGTTCATAGTGCCTGACATTTGAAGAGGTGAAAAAGTCTTTTGAGTAATTGGAATTGCAGTTTGAAGTAGTGTGGATGTCCTGTCACTCCTCCTGATGAGCTGAGATTGGAAGGACAGCTTTCTTATCTGGGACTCCAACGTTTAGAAAGGATCTGCCATTTATTAATCCCAGGATCTCCACATTCCAACCTCTGTGAGACGGGGAAAGCTCTTTTTATTCCACCTGTCCCACCTTCACATTGAAACTGCTCATGTGTGGAAAATAATAAGATGGGTTTGGATGTCTTTTTCAGTCGTTCAAATTCACCTCCTCTACGACTCAGAGCTGGGGATGCACAGGGTCTTCAAGTACCCGAAAATATCTGATTCTTTCTAGGTAAACATGTTGAACAGTGGAGTGATCTTAATCCTTCCCTTGAAAATTCCAGAGGTATATAAAGCTAACATAAATTTCCCCAAATTATTAAAATTCAAAAAGCAAAAATTAAAATTCAAACTGCAGAGTGAACATGAGAATTTGGGAGGTCTGGGAGTGTTTTACAGAGCTGCTGCCAGGGGATGTGATGTGAAGTGCCCTCCTGAGCAGAATTCCAAAGGTTTTCTTAATCCATCACAACAAAGGTGATCTGTAGTGATACCTTCTTGAAAAGTCAGCCCAAAAAAACCTGCACCACAGGCTGATGATTCTTTTAGCTGCATGTTTTATATAGGAGATATTTTAGGAATACTGAAACCATTAAAATCTACTTTAGGTACCTGTCCTAAATATGGTTAACTAGCTCTACTTGTTAAATTTCTTTCCATTTATGACAGAAGATGGGGAGGAAGAAAGGAAAAGAATCTGTTAATTCTGTAGCACTTTTTTTTTAAAAATGAACTTTTTTCATAGATGTTTTGTAATTGCTGAAAAAAATTGTCAATATCACTATTTTCAAAAAGGTTTGGCAAAATACACAGTAAATATTCAAATATTAGATGGACTTCCTGTATAAGTTGGGTCATAGATAATAACACAGAGACTTACTAAAACAAGAATGTTTTGTATTTTACAGAATATTGTTATACTGAAGCATATTGAAGTGTATCTGGGAACTGAGCAATCCCAAATTGTGGAGATCCTCGTGGACAGCATGGGGCCAAATCCACCTCCTGGGTGGGTAAGGAGAGCGGGGTAGAAAAATTGCTGTGTGAACTCTGCCAACATCAATGACACTGAAATATCTCCTGTAATAGAGGTCAGTAAACCCCCAGAAAATTGCTTTATCATAATTTTTCTTATCCACTTTCTAGTCTTGACAGAAAAGAGAATTGGGTTGTTAGATCTGAGGTATTATAAAATAGAGATGTCACTGGTTTAGAGCCACCTAATGTAGGTTTTGTGCAGGTATGCACTTACAGTATTAATGCAAAATATATTTTGGGCCATTAGTTAAATTTCACTTAAATACAGTGTATTTATAGAATTAAATGTGAATTCAAATGGAGACTGACTGACAAATGACTGTTAGGGTGATAGGGAGAAGAAAGAGCCTACTTTAGGGTTTTGCTTAGTGAGAAGTGAAAAGGAATAAGACTTTCATCTGCCGGTACCTGAAGGGGTTAAAAGCTGGGAGAAAATGATCCTGCTGGCATGATAACCAAGGGCTCACAAATAAACAGAGACTGGGAGGAAGATTAATTTTAATTACCCAAGGTGAGAGGCTTCAGCTCTGTCTGTCAGTGCTTGTGGTGGTGTAAAGGTCTCAACATTTTAACTGATCTGGGTGGGCAGCTTTGAGGAGGGTTTGTACTGCACAGGTGACACCCCTCAGGTTTGGGGGGGTTTGTTGTCACCCTGTCAGCAGAAAGCTCCAGTTACACCTGTCATGAATTTACAGCAGAATGAGGATCAAATTAATCCAGAGGAGCAATCCCAGAGGGCCCTGAGGTGGTTGGAGCAGTCAGATGTGGCCCGTGGGTGCTCCTTGCTAGTCCTGGCCTCTGGAGGGATGGAAGGATTCCAGGTTTGCTGTGTTGAGCGGGTAGAAGTCTTGGTTTTCCAAGAACACTTGATGTGTGGAGGTGGAATCAGGGGGACTTATATCATGGGGTGAAGAACAAAAGCCCTGATGGATTTGGGCTCAGATAAGGAGAGGGAAGCTTGTCTTCAAGAGGGAGATGGATGCAGAAGGCCTTATGGATCTGTGTGGAATTCCACTGGAGTTGTCCCCTAGGGCTCATATCTTTGTGGCTAGGTGACTAAACCCAGCTTTGAGCCCAGCCCTGCTCCTACAGGAGCAGTTTCTGGGTAAAGCAAGTGGATGATCTGCCATAACTCCTGCATGGTCCAGCTACCGCTGGAGGGAAGGGCCAGCTCAGCACTGCGGAGTTTTACATCCTCCTGCAGAGATGGTCCTGTTAGTGAGGATGGGGAAGCTCCCTAAAACTGTGCAACCCTGAAAATTCCATGGCTTTTCTGTGGCATCCATGGCTTTTCTCTCCTTTGCACTGCACAGGACTTGCTGTTTTATCTGTGAGGTTTTGGTCCTGGGAGCGAGAGGCACCAAGTTCCTGGTGGGATGTGATGCCAGACTGGTCTGGCTGATTAGCAAATGTCACCAAGGCCTCTGCTATTCATGAACAGCTTCTTGGATCCTCATCCAGAAGGGTTTGGGGCTCCCAGTGTGCTCTTTTGCACTCTTGAGTGTGGTCCTGCAGGAATTGAGGTCAGTGGTGAAGCCTGAAGCATCCCAGTGAAATTGTGGTATCACACCCAGGAACAGCTCTGTAAAATTGAAAATGATGTCATGGCATTCTGCATTCCATTTTTTTTTCCACTTCAAATGCAACTGCTCTGGAGATTAAGAGAGTCATTTCACTAAAACCAGCCCTGCTAACTCTTGCTTAGATCTTTAGCTCGCACTTGGATCTGAAAGTCACAGAGTTCTCCTTCTGGTGCCCTGTCATCAGTAATAAATGCTTTGCAGTCCCCAACTTGCACCTTGCATGGCCTCATTGCCTTCAGTGGGTTGATCAGATGTAATTAATTCACTCCAGAGTTGTTTAATGATGCATAAGAAGGAATAGATTCAAGCTCAATCTCGTAACTGCTTTGCCTCTGAATTCTTAACAGGATTAAAGCACCATTAAAAAAATCCAAGTAGTTCTGTGAGCAGTGAAACTAATGAAGCCAGGATTCCTATGGATTTGTGTCTTTTGCTTGATTGACTATTTAACTGATTTATGGGAAGATTATTTTATCTCTACATACACCTCTAATCCCTTTCTGCTGAATATTTTGGCAGTTCCACTCTGCTCGCTGCAGAAATTCCCCAGTAGGATCAATAGTTATTAGGACAAAATTGTTCAAAACCTGGCTCCTCTTTTACCTAACCCTCTGGCTTTAGAAAATTGAAACACTTCAGTTTTTTTCTTTGCATCTTTGACTGCTACATTTTGATGAGAAAAAGCACAGAGCTTTTTCAGGGGCTCGATAAACCCTAATACCATAAAATAAAGATGAAAAAAAGGGACATAAAGAATATGTTCTTCGAGATAATTCACAGGGCTGTGAGAGTAAAAAGAAGCAATCACAGAGCAATCTTGAAAAGTGCCAAAAGGATAACAGTATTAGAAGAAAATGTTTATGACTGAAACAAAGTTGTTGGGAGTCAGATCAAGGATTTGGGGTGGGGAGCCACACTTATTTTTACTAAACCCATTATTTTAAAAAGCTTTGAGAAATACTTGTGCTTAGATAGAAGAGTAAGAATTAAATAAATGTCTAAAAAAGAATGTCACCAAAATATATAGGTCCTAAAAAATGTACTAATGAACCGGATAAACAGTTACCTATGATGACAAAAGCTTTTTATTAAATTTCTCTGGGTTTGCCAGCTGTGAAAATAAAACCTGTGTCATTCAGGAATATAATAAATCACATTTTAAATGTGATGTCACTTACCACTCACTAGGTTCTATAAAACTCAGACTACCCAAGTAGTTAAAAAATTTTCAGAGCTTTATAGTTTATGAAACCCAAGAAATAGGGAAGTCAGGGATAAGCCCAATACCTGGGAATGAAAAAAAATATACTTAATTTCACACAGACAAGGAAAGAAGTAGCATTTGTGTGTGTTCTTTACAACCTTTGTACATATTCTATATTATTTTTATTATTTATTATTTTTTTCGTGTAAGTTGTGGGTGTTTCATGAGTTTTTTTGTAATTCTAGAACTAGTATTGAGCAACACTTCTCATATATAAAAATCCCAGGTCCTGAATGTTCATAACTCACTAAAAGACACTCTGAAGGTGTAACCATAACTAGGGAGTTAATTATATTAAAATAATATAATTTCTTGTATATGTGCTTTGCAGTGACAGCAACACCCCCATTCAAACCTGTAAATCTGCCATAATTTGGGGAGTACAAGTTTTACAATCGTGGCTCAGATTAGAACAGACAGAACTTGTTAAGTTCAAAGTTATTTGTCCATTTTGCTGTTTCTGATTCTTCACTCCAGGAGAGTTTGGATTGTATTAATGTGCTTTTTTGTTCAGCTGGAGGAAAATTCATTACAGACTAATTCAATAAAAATGGGTAATTTTAATCAAATTGATGTATTTCTCCTTGGTTACTATATTACGAATCAATAGTAGTAAATCCATAGTTAAGACTTGCAAGCTGTTGCATAAAGATCCAGTGACTTCTGTCTCAGGGTCTTGAATTAAAATGGAAAGAAAGAACAATGAAAGTTTAATGTCTGAATCCTTCCAGTGAAAAGATATTTTTCCTTTCTTTTCAAAATCTGTGATGGCTACAGAAATGAGCTGTAGAATTTTTTAACTTAAAGCCTCAAAGTAATTAATTAATTTATTTGTTCCTCCCTGATGGATTCTCTTCCCCTGCTCTGAGCAGCCTTTCCACAGATTTCTGTGAATGAAATGTAGGGGCAGAATTTGGGGGCTGGAGGTGAAAGGTGCAGGTTGAATGGTGATGATTTATGTCCTTTAACTCCCCTCTTTTGGGAATTTGTTCCTTTAGGAAGCTCAGCAAAGCATTGGATCTCCCAGCCAGGCAGGGAAGGATTTGAAGGCGTCTTTCAAGGTAGGTGTAAATATGTAAAATGAAAAAAATTTGTTTTATCTACGTGAGATGATTTTTGAGAAAACAAGTGCAGTGGATTTTTTTGGTTGATATAAAGGATGAAACCTGAGGTGAAGCTGGGAGAACAGAACTTGACTAAAATACATCTCTTTCAGAGAATTCCCCCTAATTAAATTGAAAAGTTGGCACCTTTGTCAGTCCTAAACGTTGCAAAGAGAATAATTTATGAATCCTGGCAATCCCTGTTTAATGGTACAAGGTTCACATAATGCATTTCCTGCACCTTTTGAGATCAGATCTCAAGAACTAAGACCTGGAATTCTTAAAACCAAGCAGCACAAAGTTATTTTCAGGTTGGCAGCTTTCCGAGATGAAGATCAGGGCAGTCACATTCCACTGCTGTGTCTGTCCAGGAGGGACTAAATGAGTTGGATTTGGTGCTTTTTGTTCATGTTTCTTCCTGTGTGACTTTTTACAAATCAGGGCCACATTCCCAGATATCCTGAAAATCCGGGAGCGACGGATTTTATATGTTTTACATACAGGTCATCAGAGTTAATTGCATGAAATGGAACAATCCCCTGATTTAATCCCTGCATTGAGTTTCTTTAAGACAAAACCACTTGTGAGATGTGAGGTAGTTTTAGGATTCTTTTACTCAATTCCTTGATGCTGAATGCCAAGAGAATCAATCTGCATTTTCGTTTTGGAATAAACCTCAGTTTGCAGACACTGGTGGAAATTTGTTTTTTTTTTCCTAATTAATTACTTCGTTCAAGAGAGTACTGACATCAGAAATTACTGCTGATAATTAAAAAATAGACAAATAAGCATTTGGGGAGGAAAAAAAAAAGCTGGAAACAAATTTAAATTTAATCAATCAATTAGAAAAATTAAAACATCCTGATTTTGGTGATATTGTTTTAACTGTTAATCAGCTGTGAGAGGAGACACCAAAGATCCTCTCTTAGGGTGAGACTTTTTTTCAGTGGTTGGGCGATATTTATCACTGAAATCAAGATTTTTCTTTTTGTAAAGAGGAAAAATCTTAACAGAGTCCAAGATCTC